TTCTTCTTGGAACGATCACCGTAAGTTTATCCGCCATTTTATATAGCCCTATCTAAATTCTATTTCAGTTATTTCCGTTTGTTATTTCGTTTACTTGAGTATTTAATTACTGGTTTGGATCGGCATATGGTTTGAATATATTTATGTAAAGCTGATTTTCAGACCGTAAGTTGTTTCTTTATTGAGTATCTGTCCTGAGAACTATTTTTTTTATTTATAGAGTAACTATCACATGGTACTCAGTAACTACCACATGGTACTCAGTAACTACCACCTGGTACTCAGTAATTACCACATGGTATGCAGTAATAATGCAGTAATTATTGTATGTTTCACCCACTTCATTTTGTATGGACCTATGCAGACCTTAAGACAGTGTTCCTGACATTACAATCGTTCTTTTGCCTGATATCGAAGACTTCTCCTGCCATAGTCATCTGCATCCACTTCTGTTAGTCTGGAGAATACCTACCTACCTGTTTACATCATAAGAAACTATATACAGATAAGTCTTAAGTTTTCCTCTAACCCTGAGCAACGGATTCTTTTCTTTTCATTCTATTTGGGTAACGACAGAAAAGTCGTCACAAGCGATAAGCTATGAAATGAAGATCGCTGTCATTTTATATAATAAAATTATATGGGAAATGTCATCGATTGTCATTTCATAGCCTGCATCTCTGATGCCGTTTTTATTCGATCATACGGTATTACTGTTACATAACATGTTCTCTAACAAATATTTTCATAATACATAAACATCGATTGATTTTATTCAGGATAAATATTATTAGTATTTATCCTGGTTTTGTCGACAATAAAAACTCTAAATCTTGTAATAGAATATCAATTTTATATTTCGTAAAATTATTTTGATACAAATTCAATTTGTCAAAATTCAAGTCATTAATATATTGATAAACAACTCAAATTATTCCTAAATATTTTATTATAAAAAAAAAACTGTTACCGGTAAGTTTGTAAAACACATTATGGTTTGTCTTCATACTAGAAAAAATCATTTATTTTTTGCACAAAAGAAGCTTGCCGATCCTTATTTGTCCATAATAAAATTCTGTATGTACAACATACATATACCTAATTTATTATTAAGAAAATTAGATTATATGATTTCAGAATTTTAAGATAAAATAGTTTCTTCTCAACTGTAATACTTTGGCCTCTATTTTATCTATTTAAAAACATGGGATTGACAATCCCCTTACTAAAATACATACTGGAAGGTACTGATTAAGTTTCATTGCATCAAATCCTTTGCTATAAATCCTGGCTTACAATTTAAGGCCATTGCAAAATGCTTTTGAACTTCATCATAGATTTTACAAGAATAAAAGTGTAATATTGAAACAAACACTCTTAAAGTAAAAGGGTAAGCTTCATGACTAATAGTCTCATTTTTAACACTCTTTAAATATCATCTCGTTAACAATTATGAATATCATATGATTTTTCTCAGTGATTTGTAGCACAGATACGAATTATATATGCCCCATAACAGTTTTTAAATAAGAAACTTCTGCCTACAGATTTAATTTTCTTATTGGCATAATACCCTTTCTTCCTATATAAATCTTGCCATTTTTTCAGTCCAATGTTCCTTGTTTTTACAGTTGTAGGAATACTAAAAATGCTGACTATAGAACTGGATACTATGTTTGAAAAAGCCTGTAACTGTGCATAAATCTAATTAACTGAATTCTTCTCCTCTTGACACTCTGAACACTGCTGCTGCTGTTAGAAATATTTAGCACAAAACTACAACTACCTACAGCAAACTTTACAATAAAAATGTTAAATTTTCGCTGTTCGATTAAAATACCCTATCTTATGTTTTCTTTTCCTCCAAATAATCTTCTTGTCAAGTAAGGACCAATCAATGTCAATACAATATTTGACATATTTCTGGTACACTTGAACTTGTGCTTTCATGGACACTAGAGTGCACTGTTTTACAGAAGCACGAACATTGATTCCAAGTATCTTCTTCCTCCACATGTAATAAAAACATCCTCTTCAAATGGCCACATCACACACTTATTTTTGACCATTCCCAATTACAATCACGATTTTTACAAATGGACTTTAGGAAAACTAAAAATAAACAGTTTTGGATCATCTGTAAACACGATTATGTTGTATAAAGTTACACATGAAAACTAATCATTTTTCCCGGCGTATTAGCTTTCTTAGAATGACTATGACAATATACAACAAGCCTTTTTGAATTAGTGTTTAGAATAATTGAGATAGTAATAAATTTTAACTAGATAACAACACAAACGAAAAAAAAAACAAACAGATGTCAAATAAAGAGGGGAAGTGACAGCGAGACCTGGAAGATGTCTGCCATGTTGCCGTCGACAAAAATTTGGATGCGCACTCGTCGAAGCTCATTCTCCCACTTCCATATCTCTGAGAAATACGCAGTGACGCGACGTGTGTATTTGTGAGCAGTCCACGTGTTTATCAAAAATATTGATATTTTAATACAAATTTTGTAAAAGTGAATCAAGTTATTACGTGTAAAAAAAATATTTGTTACACGTAAAAAACTATTTTTATTATTTTACGCGAATAAAACTGTTACACGTAAAAAACTATTTTTTACGCGTATAAAACTATTTGTTACTGGTAGAAAACTATTTTTTACGCGTATAAAGCTATTTGTTACTGGTAGAAAACTATTTTTCACGCGTATAAAACTATTTGTTACGTGTAAAAATCTATTTGTTACCATTTTTTTCGCGTTCATAACTTATTGTTTCTAGTAAAAAAACCTTTTGTTATGCAAAAAAAAATATTTTTTTATGGGTAAAAAAACTATTTGTTACACGTAAAAAACTATTTGTTACACGTAAAAAACAAATTTTTACGCGCCAAAAACTTATTGTTTCTGGTAAAAAAACTTTTTTACCCAAAAAAATATTTTTTACGTGTAAAAAAACAATTTGTTACACGTAAAAACTATTTTTTAAGCGTCAAAAACTACTTGTTTCTGCAAAAAAAAACCTTTTTACGCAGAAAAAGACACTTTTTACGCATAAAAAACTATTTTTTACGCGTAAGAAAATATTCCTTTAATTTATTACTTTTTCAACATTTCAAACTACACTTTTTCAAACATTTCCTTCAAATTTTTGAATTTAATAGAATCTACCTAAACAGTAGATGTTCTTTATAAAAATAGTTTTAGATAATACCCTAAAATGAAAAAAAATGCATACTATTTAATTTATTTTTATTGTATTATTAAATATAACGTCCGCCTATGACGGGGTCTCATCTTAAAAACGCTAAAAGACGCTGAAGAAAACAAACTGATTTGTTTTCATTTGCGTTTTTTGCGAGACACGCCGAACGCTACACGCTTTTGGTGTGTCCACTCCTATATAATCCTGTTATTTTGTTTTAGTCACTAAAGACGCTTCACGCTAAAACGCAAAAAACGCTTTTTGTGTGGCCGTGGGCTTAGACGATTATGGAGAACCAACCGGTGATAGATTTTTTTATGAAAATTTGGATTTTTACATAAAGGCTAAACACCCAGTATATTATTACATTTCTGAAAACTAATATTATATCATAATTTTTCTATTATAGTATATCGACTATGTGTATTTTCTTTTGAATAAATTCCCTTTTTTGTGTTTTTCTTTGAATATTGTTTATTAATGGAGTGTTTAAAGAGTTGCACTACTCATCAACGCTCGGCGCGCGCAAATTACACCAATGTATACGTACCATAAAAAATCAAAAGACTAATAAAATTGCTTTTCAACGATATATCATTATTCCTATACCTAAATCTTCCGGTTTCTAAAGTAGAGCTATTTAAAAGTTAATAATCCTATTATAGTTTCATTTCAAAATTTCGTTACCATGACAATTTTAGAAATTCAGCACGTAAACTCTCAAAAGTTTGGATATTTGTCATGGTAACGATTTTCTTTAAAGGAAACAGTCATAACAGAATTATTATCTTTTAAATGGTTTTACTGAAGAAATCGGAATGTTTAGGTATAGAAACATGATAGATCGCTGAAAAGCTATTTTATTTGGGTTTCAATTTTTTAAATAATATACATAGGCTTGAATTTAAAATAACAATAATTTGAACGATTTTATAACAAACGGAAATAATAACGCTCTCAGTTTGATATCCAGTCATATTGATAATTTATTATATTACAATTATTTATATACAGGTTGTTAATTTGTTTATTACTCGCGGCAAGAGCTTTATGGTTGAAATATGGCAACCTCGGCCCGCTCGTCGATGACTACGCGACGGGACGAGTCGGCAGAAAAATCAATAATGCATGCGTTCTCAATAGGCAGTGTTGCCATTCTGTTCCCCTATAAGTAACTGTCGAGTTAACAACCTGTATAGTTGATTTATCCAGATCGAATATGTCGACTTTCCTTAACCTATAACCAAATTTTAGCTTTCAATATACCGAATTTATGATTTAATCAATGCTTATTCAAAATCATGTTTTTGTCAATTTTACACATGTTTTATTTATTATCTCGAAAACTATTAGAGATTGGTATAGGTTAGTATAATAGAAAAATTTTGAGATATGGATGTAGTTTTGAAAAATATAATAATATACCGGGTGTTCTATTTAAAATAACAAAGATAACTAAGTCACTTTTAGCACTTTTAAGAAGCGCTTTTAGTATGAATACAACACTGTAATGCTGAAAATAATCTAGACAGATGGAGTAGGTGCCTTAATGCAAAAATCCTATCACCGGTTCTCCATAAACGTCTAATGTGCCATGGCTGTGAATCACCTTCTATATATTTGATTTTTAAAATAAAGATTAGGGAAGTTCGATAAACTGGTGTTTATTATTAATGCTAGATTCTATGTAGTTTTGTTTTTATCTTCAGATTATTTTAAAAGAACTTAGGATTTTAAGTATGTCATAATTGTATAACTGAAATATTACGATCGGCTTTTTTATTTCAGTGATCAGAAGAATCAGAATTATGATTCAGTGATAAAATCAAAGGCTATGATATAATGTATTAGGACATACAGTGTAATTGGAAAAGGAAAAAAGTTACTTTACATGATATTGTTTCTTCAAAACATTAGAACTGCCTGGTTTAATATAAACAGTTACAAATTTAAAAATATTTAAGAAATTATAGTATCAGTTGAATATACATATGGAGAAAGAATGAGATAAAAACAAGCGTACTGTTTACAAAACATAACACTCCGAACTCCGAGAAAAGCGAGTCCAAGATTCAAGCTCCGCTTAGATAAATATATCTTGGGGGTTGAGTTACCTACCAAGCGCGTCCCCAGGTGGCGGATAGGGGTAAGCTGCAGACTCTAAGGTACTGTGGTAAAGAGGATGAATCAATCTTCTCGCGGACCAGCTCCCACGTGTTTGTGCCGTGCGTGGCGACCCGTGTCGTCGGATGATGGGTACCTGGTGGTTGAGCGCCAAACGCAACACATCACTTTGGTCCGGATTTCGATTAGACGGGCGGCTAGGAACTAACCCATCCCTAGTCAATCGGCTGTGTCGTCCCGTAAGAGGGCCGACAGGGTGAGATCTTGGAGTTAGGGGCGCGTAGGGGGTTGCGAACGGGATTGTTGGGTGGCTCCTGCTTCCTCTCTCGCATAACCCCTTCACAGCGTTGCCTATTCTTTGGGATCTATATTTATCTAGCAACCCTGGTGTTCGCATGGGCTTGCCATGCGACTCCCCCTATGTGGGACTCCGTGGTGGGTGGGGAGCTAGATACATGAATTCATGTTAAATGTATGGATAGATATTCTTTGAAAGCCAAACGCGAGTTTCCCTCGCCATTTATACCTTCTGGAGCTGAGTATCAACGCTCGCAACAGCAACAACACACACTTGCAGGTAATTCTGAGTTACAAATACCAGGCCGAAAGCGTAGACAGCGCTTAACACACGCTGAAATTAAGAGGAGAAAAAAAGCGCGGGAGACGGAGACGATGTCAAACAGATATTACTCGTCGCAACGATCACCGTCTCCCAAATACAATTACTCATCACAAAGATCACCATCTCCTCAATACCACTTATCACAGCGATCACCATCTCCTCAATTCAGTTACTCGTCACAACGATCACCATCTCCCCAATTCCAATTGAAAAGAACCGCTATGCATCCCACCAATGTGCAACGCTCTTATACGAGAACGTTAGAAGAGGCACCTAGCACTAGCCGAACTCATTTTGCGGAACAATCCTCGCCCCAGAAAATCCAATCAAAATGGACAGCAAAGAAATCGAAATATGTGCAGTCACCGTTCATGAGGGAACCCAAGAAGGAGGTAAACTATAACTGGACACAGTTCATGGAATCGCCCCCGAAATATCCATCAATATGGAACCAACCTCTTTCTAAGAGAAAGCCTGAACAGCCGGCAAGTTCTAGCCGTGCTTACAATTCTGACCGGGCATCGCCTTCCAGACTTCCCCCGGTAACACAACCCGAAAAAAAGAAGTTTCATTCCGATAATACACCACCTGATTTAGCATGGAAGGCCGGGCATCCTGCGAAGAAATTTCCCAAGCAGAATACACAAATTGCATCCACATCTAAGCAGCATCAGTATCCATATTCCAAAAATCCAATTAATAAACCACCTACTTTTAAAGGAGGAGTTAAATTTTCTAACCAACATATACAAATACCATCCAAAAAACAGCAATTTTATGATTCGTTTTCCAAAAAACCCTTCAGGAAAGCAAACTCTAATTTGCCGTCTGCCAACAGGATGGATTTCGTTTATAACCATCTTACAATGGCCATTATCGAGGAGAAAGATCGTTTCGGAAAAATATCAAAGAAGAACGAAGTCCTTATTAAAGGAATGTTAATGGAAAAACTGGATAAATTTTTATTAGAAGATAGCAACAGAAATGTAAATCCCCCAGCATTTCTTTCGTGGACTTATATAAAGAAAGTTATCAGGGTTACCTGTCGAGATCAATATACTGTAGAATGGCTAACCGAAACCGTGAATAATTTAACGTTTGAGCAAAATTTAATACTATCTGTTGTTAGGGCCGATGCATTGCCTAAGATGACGAAAGTTACTCTCGAGGTTCCTTTAGAATCGACTAGTGGCCTTAACGCTAAAGATATAATAATTAATCGCTTGGCGGGCCAAAATCCGTCTCTAAACATCAGAAACTGGTATGTTGTCCAAGCCAATGAAACGATGTCGGGTCATTTCTTTGTTTTCGCACTTGATGAAAAAGATATCCTTACCTTAAAAAAAGCGAAAATGAGAGTCTTTTACCTTTTTGAAACTCTTTTTCTAAGACTAACAAAAGGTTCAATTCATGTCAAGCCTCATACCTTCACCTCGTCAGTTCCAAACATACAGTCCCTTAAGACAATCGGCGCCACTTCAGCCCCAAGCGTACAGTTGCCTCAATTATCTCACGATGCTTCGGATCCGAATATACAGTCTATTAAGTCATCTGACACCTCTTTAGTTACAAACGTGCAGTCGCCTATAGAAATTTACGACCCCTCGGAACCAAGCATGCAGTCACCTAAATCCTGTAATACATTTTCACGTCCCAACGTCCAGGCCTCTAAGGAAGCTGATCCCGCTTTAGTATCAAACGAAGAGTCTCCTAAATCATCGGAGGCCTCTACAGTTTCAAACGAAACCGAAACCTCTTCAGTACCAAACAAGCAGTCTCCTGAGTCATCTGACTGCTCTTCAGTTCCAAACGCGCCATCTCCTACTGCAAGTGACGCCATTACAGCTTCAGACGCGCAGTCCTCTGTAGAAATTGAAGTCTCTTCAGTACCAGACAAGCAGTCTTCTAAGGCATCTGACACTTTAGTTCCAAACGCGCAATCTCCTACGGCAACTGCCACCATTACAGCTTTAGACGCGCAGTCCTCTGTAGAAATTGAAGTCTCTTCAGTACCAGACAAGCAGTCTTCTAAGGCATCTGACACTTCTTTAGTTCCAAACGCGCAATCTCCTACGGCAACTGCCACCATTACAGCTTCAGACGCGCAGTCCTCTGTAGAAATTGAAGTCTCTTCAGTACCAGACAAGCAGTCTCCTAAGGCATCTGACACTTCTTTAGTTCCAAACGCGCAATCTCCTACGGCAACTGCCACCATTACAGCTTCAGACGCGCAGTCCTCTGTAGAAATTGAAGTCTCTTCAGTACCAGATAAGCAGTCTCCTAAGGCATCTGACACTTCTTTAGTTCCAAACGCGCAATCTTCTGCGGCAACTGACACCATTACAGCTTCAAACGTGCAGGCCTCTGTAGAAATTGAAGTCTCTTCAGTACCAGACAAGCCGTCTTCTAAGGCATCTGACACTTCTTTAGTTCCAAACGCGCAATCTCCTACGGCAACTGCCACCATTACAGCTTCAGACGCGCAGTCCTCTGTAGAAATTGAAGTCTCTTCAGTACCAGACAAGCAGTCTCCTAAGGCATCTGATACTTCTTTAGTTCCAAACGCGCAGGCCTCTGTAGAAATTGAAGTCTCTTCAGTACCAGACAAGCAGTCTCTTAAGGCATCTGACACTTCTTTAGTTCCAAAAGCGCAATCTCCTACGGCAACTGGCGCCGTTACAGTTTCAAACGCGCAGTCCTCTATAGAAATCGACGCATCTTCAGAACCAAACGAGCAGTCTTCTGAAACAACTGAAGTCCCTTCAATTCTAAACGAGGCAGAGTATATTTAGTTCTACGTAAAAAATAGTTCTTTGGGCGAATCTACCATTTCTGGATCTCCAAATTAGGTAAGGAAATCCAGTGCAACCTGTATCCTGCTTCAATTCATAACAGTAGTGCAGCACTGTTGCGAATCGATGCTGGATGCATTGACCCAATATCAAGAACCCCGAGTAATTAGATCAATTTTTCAGCTCTTCTACTAAAGTTAAGTCAAGAAGAGCAATTTATGTTCCACTGGTCATAAACACTAGTCACTTGATATATGTCGTAATGGTTAAGTAAATGTTCATCTCACTATATTATACGCTATACTGACTTGAAGTACGGTTCCTTAAACCGCCAACAAGGAAAATGGATCGATCTACTTGTCAAAGACTGGCACGCCAATAACTGGGAATTATTCTTCAATTACTAGTGCAAATGAGGTAGTGAAGATATTAAAATATATGGGTAAGGCTAAATAAGTAAGATAACTTTATGGTTATTGTAAGCTTTGTCCTAATCATAATATACAAGAAAATTCTAATAAGATTTTCTGTATTTCCGAATATTGCAAGTGAAAGAGATTCACGTTTCGGACCCTGCTTCGGGTACAAACGAACTCTTATGCATTTGATCTCTTAAATCTCATAAGAGAGCTATGCCATCTGAAACCACAGTCGTAATACGACACGATCTGTAGTACTAGGCTACTTTATCAGAATTAAACCTCTGAAACAAACGTTTGTCTGAACACGACTGTACTAGCCTTATATATTTCAACATCAAGGAGGTTTGTGTAAACTTCTTAGACACATTGACACTAAGACACTATTGTAGGACAGGCTGAGATTCTAGCTTTTAGCTATATTAAGACTATATTCTATACAGCCCCCCTTATGCAATTCTGTCTCCTAAATCTGGTCATAGGATGTTTGTGTCATCTCTGAAACAACCTCATAACACAAAGGCGCTATTGTGATACTGACTAATAATCTCCCTTATTAAGCTATGTTTAGGAAATAGAAGTCACCTTTTTCGTTTCTACATTTTATATATTGTCAAAGGAGCATGATGGCGCCATTGTGGTACTAGCTGAAAATATAGCTTATTAGGATATGTTTTTGAAATAAACAAGCTTTATTCGTTCAGAACTCATTAAAGAGGTTTGTGGCATCTCTGAAAAAATAGTCATTGTGGTATTAGTGCTATGAATTAGCTTATTAGGGTATGTTTCAGAAATTAAACAAACTTATTCGTTTTGACCTAGAGAGGTTTATACCATCTCTGAAACAACAGGATGTACGAACGGAACCGATATATCTGTTGTACTAGTTCTAGCCTAGTAATACATATAGCTTATTGCTGTGTTAACAGGTTCCGCTTAATATACATTTCCTAGACCAAACAAACTTCTATAGATTTTTAGACTATCTTGTCTAACAATTTTAGATAAATGCAGCGCATACAGTATTGGCCATAAGTGGATGAACTTTGTTAAAATAATGGATTTTCCCTAATATGTTTAAAATTAAAATTTGAGCTATATTTATTTGAAGTCTAGTGTCAGTGCTATAAAAATAAATATCATTGTTTTTTTAAAATTTGCTTTAATAAGGTAGCAAAAATATTAAATTGAAAAACCATTAGATAAAAGTAGATGAATTACATATATATTTAATAAAAAAAATCTTATGCTAACAAAAACTGAAAAATTAACTTATACTTTACTAGTACTTAGTGTAATACCCCTTATTCTTAATTACTTTCAGCCATCGCTTAGGCATATATCCCAGAAGATTTTCAATTATTGAAAAATCGATATTTTTCCAAGGCTCTTCCAAAGCTGCATAATAATGGTCCTAATGTGTTGATCCAAAATTTCCCATAAGTTTTCTGTTGGATTCAGATCTGGGGATAGTGATGGCCATTTGAGAACAGTCACCATTTCATCTTCCAAAAACCTTTTAACCAATTGTGAGGCATGTTTCGGGTCGTTATCATGTTGGAAGTAGTGTACAACTGGCATTTTTTCTTCCAAATAAGGCACTAAAAGGTTTTGTAAAATGTCTCTGTAGCCAAACCGATGCATTATGCCCTCAATTTTATGGAGACGCCCCATCCCATACCCAAAAAACAGCCCCATACCATGATTGAGTCCCCACCATGTTTTACAGTGGGTTGCGTGTACTTTGGTAGCAATCGTGTGTTGGGAGGTCTTCTTACATGTTGAATTCCATCTGATGACATCAAATTAAACTTTGATTCATCACTAAAATAAACTTTTTTTCATTGTGCCACAGTCCAGTTTTGATGTTCCTTGGCAAATGCTAATCGGGCCTTCAAATTTTTTTTTGATAGCAGTGGTTTCTTGGCGGGTCTTCGGGAAAACAACTTCTGATCAACTAATTTACGTCGGATCGTCCTTGTACTCACTGGTGGATAGCCCATTTCTTCAAGTTTTGCTTTTATCTTCGTTGACGGCAAAACTGGATCTTGTGAAGAAATTGAAGCAATAGGAAAAGTAAAGTTAATTCCACGTGGCATGTTATATCACAAGAGCTCAAATGTTTTTAAATCGCAGTTGTTCATAAAACCAGAACAAATGAAACTAACGATTTTTAAAAATACTTGGTTCATCTACTTTTGTCCAAGACAAAAAAGCAACATTTGCCAATTCTTATCTATAACTAATAAGACTAACAGAATAATTTATATTTCTTTGTAGTATTTTGGTGAAAATGTATTAACCTTTTTTTAACATACAAAGGTACATAAAATAATTTTGATATTTAACACTTCAAATTTGATTTTTTCGCAATTATTGGTATTGGTTCATCCACTTTTGGCCAATACTGTAGATAAATGTAAATAGCTCTGTACGGACGCGATCCAAAGCTTTTTAGATAATTTCGGAGTGGTGTTCAGCATTTTCCGTATTAATTTGTCTCTTGTAAAAAATGCCACACAGTATAGTTTTTGAGGAAAGGAGGAATATGTATGTCCAGGGAATATTGGAGGTTCCAATATTCAGTGGACATAAAGCAACTACGTATTTTTTGAATCCAAATAAGTTAATTGTTTTTTATTGTTATTGGAGTTTTCTCGGGAAATGTCTCGAGAAACGTTTCGATCAATTTCGACAGAATTTTATAACACGCGTCGATATCCTTCGTACTACTTCGCGAAGCAATCAAGGTCCAACTTTGTGGTGGCTTCAGGAAAATAAGTAAACATGGAGTATGAATAAATATCATTACTTTGTATTGGAGTGTAATGTAATACCACTATATTAAACTGAATGAAAAACAAAAACAGTGCATTTAGACATCAGTTACCGATGCCGATGGTAGATTAAATTGGCTATTCCTCTAAGGTTACACAAGAATATTTAGTTTTAATCATTGTCTAATATTATTATTTACAATATAGTGAAAAATAAAATTCCAAAACTTAAAATCGCAAAACTTCAAGGCAACTGTGTGTAACTGTTTTAGCGGTCCGCCTTCTATCGGCTTATAATCCACGGTGTTAAACTGTTTAAAAAATCGTCTAATTATTTCTTATTTTTGAATGTTTTTTTTATCAAACCACTAGTTGAAGCCTGGCGCATGCGCCATGACATCAGAAAAAAATACTTTTTTTTTAATTAAATGAAAAACAAAAAATCCGGCGACGACAGTTTTTAGAAGAGCAAATTAGCTATCTTTTAGTAAAAAAAACAACTTTCTAGAGCAAGCCGTTACTTCAGTAGAGACGACACAGATAAACATTAGCATTTTATATACAGGGTGGCCCATCGAAAACGTTCCGCAAGGCATAACGGCCAGGGTATTTTTTTTTCAAAAAAATCCAAAAACACGTCAATTTTGTTTGGGAGGGGGGACAACTTTTGCCCCCAAAATGATTGCAAAATCTTCAACCCTCTAAGCGGGGGTGTCATCCCCCAATTTTTTTCAAATGGGAAGAGGGGTCAACCAAGTGGTACCGCAATGAAAAGAGCGTTCTATTCTCTATATTTCCCCGCCTAGTTTTTGAAAATCAGTCGAGTCATTGAGCAATGAAGGATTGAAATTCGAAAAGTTTATTTAAACATTTATTAGAGTAAATGATAAGGATAAATTCCTTCGACCAATTTGAGGTTTTTCCTCGGGTTTTTCTTATTATTTGTAGATGTTTACGCATTTTTTCACTTGTCACAAGGCTGAACAATCAGGTGCGGTAGTTGCTAGATAGCTGTTTTGTGACTTGTGCGTTGAAGTTCTTCCCAATATTGTTAAACTGACCTACAATAGAATTTACAAAAATACCAGCCCACACGTTCTATCTCTGAGAGTTGTGTGTGCACCTCGTGAAAAACCCTGGGGTTGTCCTCAGCCCAGTACCGACAGTTGTACCGATTAACTACACCGTTCAAAAAGAAAGTACACTGATCCGAAAAACATACATTAAATAGGAAATTATTATCATTCGCCACTCTACTCATAGTTTGACAAAATTGCAAGCGACGATGAAAATCGTCTTCGTGAGTTCTTGTACCAACTGAATTTTGTACGGGTGGAACTTGTGTTTTTTTAATATTCTTTGGACACTTGTACGATTCACGCAAGACTTATTGGCTAATTTTCGTGTACTCATCGTACTATCATAGAATAATGTAGTTACCACAGTTGTTGTTGTGGTAACTACATTATTTTATGGTACTATCCATGGCAACTTGACCTCAATAGCTTCATTTACTACAAGATTTTCCCTCTGCCTCTTTTTATTCATAACGGAACCAGTTTCGCGAAATTTTACTACTAACTCGCGAACAGTTTTGCCATAAAGGTGTTTGTCAGAATGGCGTTCATTGAATATCTGCGCAACCCGATTGCCACAGTCATTATTTTTAAAATAAAGTTCGATTATTTCCACTTTTTCTGCAAGCGAGTACACCATAATTGTTAAAAAGTTTAACGATATTGAGAAGAACTTCAACGCATCAGTTACAGAACAGCCATCTAGCAACTACTGCACCTGATCGTTCAAACTTGTGGCAAGTGAAAAAATGCGTAAAAATCTAGAAATAATAAGAAAAAGCAGCAAATTGGTCGAAGGAATTTATCCTTATGATTTACTCTGATAAATGTTTAAATAAACTTTTCAAATCCTTCATATTTTCTCAATGACTCGACCGATTTTCAAAAACGAAGCGGGAAAGTATAGAGAATAGAAAGCCCTTTTCATTGCAGTACCACTTGACCCCCCTTCCCATTTGAAAAAAATTGGGGGATGACACCCCCGCTTAGAGGGTTGAAGATTTTGCAATCATTTTTGGGGTAAAAGTTGTCCCCCTCACAAACAAAATTGACGTGTTTTTGAATTTTCTGAAAAAAAAATTACCCTGGCCGTTATGCCTTGCGGAACGTTTTCTATGGGCCACCCTGTATGTAGATACTGTGTACTAACAAAAGTATCGTTTACAGTTT